GTCCCAACGGGGGGGGGGGAGATGCCCCGACAAGAGCTAAGTGGGCGTAGTCGGGTGTCGCTCAAAATATTTTGAAAGTGGGCAAGAGGCGCGGGCCCCAAAAATGTTTCAAAGTTTTTATTTAAATTGATTTTAGAGTCAATTAATATGTAGAAAATACATGGTACTAACAGTGAGTGTGAAGAAAAGATATCAGTAAATAACGTAATGCTTTGTATATAATATAGGCCTAATATCAATTCAAAATTAATGGCCTAGAAATTGAGGGCGCTAATGTACACAAGTAGGGGCGCCATATCACACCACCAGAGTCGCATTCATTGAGACGTTAGGCCAAATAAAATTAATTGCTAGTTTTACGTCCCCGCCTTATCAAATTTGGAGCCTCATGACTGAAATTACTCTTGGCAATTTTTAAAAACAAAAACAAAACAAAAACAACAAACAAACAATACTTTTCCCATGGAAAATAAAAATAATGATGATCTAATAGATTGTTGTCAAAGTCTAAGTTGAAGTGGAAACATAACTGACAAAACTGTGTTACAAAGATTCATTTTACTTTAAAAAAATGTTATTACTGCCTGTTTACCACTAGTATATTGGAGCAAATAGTAAATACCCTCATGAAAAAAAAATAACGTGAAACTAACAATTTATTTTATTTGGCCTTATATTTTACAGCCATTATAGCCTTCACTGTCATTCAAATACATTGGTAGAAATTACTCAAATGATTAAGTAAAGAATTAATAGAAAATGTTCAACCTACATTTATTATTGGAAGGCTAAATTCCACGTGTGTATCTATGCTGTCATTCGTCCCATAAATACTGATTGAGAGCAAACCACTAATAAGATACGTAGATCTTTGAAGAACTTCACTTCTAAAAAATCAACAGTACTGTAAAGTGAATAATGCTATCAATATTCAAATATTAAAACGTACTTAAACAATTAAATCGAACTAAATAAATATTCTGACCAAGAGCGTGGATCGATGTGTAGTTTGATCAAAATCTCAGGTTAACCAAATTTAACCAAAATAAACTGCAAATTTTGGATATTCAGAAATAGTTTACGATGGAAGAGATCTACTAACGATAATCAATTTAAAACAAAAAGACAGTAACCCCGGAAAGAGACAGAGGCATTTTGAGATTCAAAGTTTCGATCTACTTGATCATCTTTAATATTCTTTAAAATGATCAAATAGATCGAAACGTTGAATCTCAAAAAGTCTCTGTCTCTTTTCTAATTAGTGGATCCTCTGGTTTTGATAATCCATTTGACATTAAAAATCATTTTCAGTATCTGTTAACCCTTCGTAACTTAGGTACGTTTTGAGGACGACAACATATATATCTATGAACATAGTTGTATAAATTAGTTGTACGCACGTTGTGTCATCTAACTGCACATCATTTCCAAGACCGGTAGCAACAATATCACTTTCCATATAGATTATTACAATTGCAAGGTTACCTATATGATTAAAAAAAGTGGTAGCTCATTACAAAGAATAGTTTTATAACACTTCATTTCCAAATGTGATTCGCCAATGCCGTATACGACAACAATATTTAAGACTGGTGTAACTTAATTATTAATATATTATTATTATTATTATTATTATTATTATTATTATTATTAGTAGTAGTAGTAGTAGTAGTAGTAGTAGTAGTAGTAGTAGTAGTAGATATGTATATATGTATATTACGTATTATATATATATATACTTGCTGTTAATGTCCAAATAAAATTAAAATGACTTATTCTCATAAGAACTATAGTGCCAAATGCATGTACCAATACAAATATAAGCGAATTATAACATCAGGTTATAAAACGTTGCAGTCAATATCAAAAAACAAAATAATGTAACGTCTTATTTGACTAATAGGAAATAATAAATATATTGAATTTAACATGTTTATATAATAATTATATCCAAACACAATAACAAAACAAAAAACAATTATAATGATTATGATATATAAGATAGCCCGATGCATTTACAATATGCATCACAAAAACAGTTATACTGAATTTCTTTCTGTGTCTCACTATAAGTTGATAATACTCCATTAAATCATGGAGGTATAAAAAAATTTTATACCTCCATGATTAAATAAGCACATTTTTATTCTGATAATTTTCTGATTTTTTTTTTTTTTTTTTTGCAGTTTAAAACACAAACGATATATCTTTAAATATAGAAACTCAATACAATCAATCAATACCTTTATTCAGTGGAACTTTTACAGTAGCGGAAACTGATTGGTTAGTTTCTGTTTCGATGTTTTTTCGAATGTGTGTTACATTCCTTATCCATGAGGCAGTTGAGTCTACATTTAAAATATGTAGAAGATATTGATATTATTTAAATAATAATTACGATTGTTAAATACAGTCTGAATATACTAATAACATATTGCTCAGTTGACTAAAAGGAAATACATCACAATTTTGAATAGCTCATACAAAAATATCAAAACAAGTCGAAAACTCTGCTGATTTACAGACATTTTGAGAAATATTTCAAGACAATATAAGGGTCTATGAAAGTGAATACAGGAAAGGTATACATCCATTAATTGACTACTAAAATATTCTCATCCATTTTTTTTTTAATTGTAAGTTAATATACATTGAAATTGAATTTTTAATTGTTGTTTTTAGCTAATGACAGAGAGATATAAAAATACCTTCAGTTATATAATATAATGTAAAACAATATAAATAATGTATAGGCCTAAAGGCCAACTCATTGTGCTACGGAGCCTGACGCGATTTGTTGTCGCGTCACATCTGTGAGTTAAAGGGGTCCACATCCATCTCAGCCCCACCATAGTTGAGGCTAAGGTGGTAAACTTTGGTGAAATAGTACCGGTACCTCTAGATTGCCAGATATGACACTCTTAATGCCAGATATGACATAGTAAAATCCATCATTATCGATCTAATTAATCGCTGTGATGTACCATAGAAAATAAATCTTAACTCTCTTTGATGTATTTACTTTACTTTACTACTTGTGCCGAAAACCAATATTTTCATAGTTTTTTCAAGTTTTTTCATACAGTACTTTTCAAATTATAATAAAAGCACCCGCACTTGAGTCGTTTATCATAGGTAATTCAGATGTTTGTAGCTAGATACTAGGCCCGGAGCTAAGAACACCCAAGCACAACCCTGCTTTATAACTGAAATTATTTTTTTCAGTTGCCTATAGTATATGTATAAGCTTAAAAAACACCTTATTATCCAAGCGATTTCTGGTTGTCAGTGAATGTAAACCAGCATGAAAGATTGTTCAGTATTAGGATTGATGGGTGGGGTAATGCCCAAAACTTTTAATCAACTGAATATATATTCTTGGTTTTAGGACCAAAGTGTATAATAAAAATATTAATAATATATGATAATACAGCAGCCACCTCTAAGGTACATCACCATGTAGCATCATAACTGCTATTTAAAGAGCTTTTTCATTCGTATCAAAGCCAGTGGTGAATGTATAATATAGACACGCCCACATATTTTCGGAGCTATAAATTTGCAGTGACTGGAGCAGAAATGTTATAATTTTATCTATGCATGTATTTTATTATATAATTTACCTCAACTAACTTTTATCCATGTTATTTTAGATTTAACGGGATAAAAAACTATTATCACACGTTTTAATATACATTTTCGGTAATACGATGTTGATCTTTGTGTTGATGATCTTTTGACCCCCTGTGACATAATTAACGATGTAATTACATTGTACCAAATCATAGGACTGTATTATTCTACACTTTTACACTAAGAACAAGAAAATATATTCAGTTAGTAAAAAGTTGTGGGCATAAATGTTACAAAACACCCATTATCGATCACCCAAAATGAAAAAAACAGGTACCCATTTTTAATGTCGGTTTACAGGCAGAGACAACCAGAAATCGCTTGGGTAACAAGGCATTTTTTTAAGCTTATACATAGAGGTAACAACAAAAATGATGACAGGTATAAAGCAAGTGGGTGCACCTTTTTTGTCTCCTGGCCCCTGGACTATCTGTTGCTATAAAATAAGATGTACTCTGGCTGTACAGCGCTCTTTTGCTAAAATCGTTAAAACCTGGGTCATTTATGCAGTTTAATTCAACAATTTTCAGGCATCTTATTGACTTATAAAATTGCACTGCGGACAAAAAGTGAGAAGACAAACTCTCCCCCCCCCCTTAAAAATATGTGGGGGGACGTCTCTCCTGCTCACATGACCTGTGGCCGTGGGTGCATGAGAGTCCACACTGAATATTTTGAGAATACGGACCTCTGGGTGCCCGAAAATTGCACTCTCATACTTTAAAGATCTTAACAATAATTCATGTCCCCACCACCACCACCCTGCATCCGCCCCAGCACGCGCCATGTTCGCGAGTGAAGATGAGTGACCTTTAGTAGAATTGCCTTGTTAGTATTAAGATAGTAATTTTTCGTTCCACAAAATGATCTGAATGTCGTACAGACTGATTTTAAATCTGATGAAAAGTAACTGTCACTTGAAGAGCTGTCTAACTGGTGTAGAACATCCGTTTCTTGTGACGTAATCCATGAAGTTAGTGTCTCTCCAGCCTTTAAAGGGAAAAAATATGTCATATAATAAGATAAAATTTCTGTACACAATTAGTCATTACATCAATTACAGGTGAAGGTTTTCTTGCAGTAGCACAGAGGTGGCGCCCTGCGGGAGGTTGGCGCGAGAGAAAACCACAATTCGTGGGGAGAAAAAAAATTATATGTATTTTGTACATATTATTAGTAGACACTAAAATCGATTAAATAAGCCTTTGAAACCCCTAAATTGCCACAACTTTCGACACATTTTAAGCGTTGCTCGACCACGCCCACTTTGTTCTCGTCGGGGGCATCGGACCACCGCCGGGGAAATCCTGGCACCATCCCGGTGGTAAGCATATTATTTACACTATTAATTGTTAGACAAATAGATTCTGAAAACTAAACAAAAAGCTGCTGCTTACAATATTGCCATCAGCAGAGAGGTACATTCTATCGGATGCACTGCTAGGAGAGGAATGTTGATCAATGGAACTCATTTCTTCAGATGGAAGTTCAGGTGTAGATGAAAGCGGAATTGAAGAAAATTCACTGAGAGGAGTGTCTGTTGTTGATGCAGCTGTTGCCCTAGCTAACAAAACAAAGAGAAAATGAAAAATAATGTGAACTCCTTTCAAAATATGTAGATTGAGCAGGCAATAAATAACATTAATCAATTCAAACTGTCCCCCCCCCCACACGGTTTGTAAACAATTTGAAAGACGAAACTAGTAAAATCAAGACATAAATGAAGAGAGATGCATGTCAATAACCAACATTGTGAGCCATATATAGACATATAATGAAACACGAATTTACGAAAATGTACTTGAAGGGATGCCTGTTGTTGATGTCGTTGTTGTTCTTCCTAACAAAAATAATAGAAAATGCAAATAATGAGAATTCCTTTCATAATAATATTTGGATTCAGCAACATGACTATCAAAACATCAAAAATATGCACTGCATGTTGAATTATGGAAAAAATCTGTAAAAAAACCTGAATAAATAGATAACAGCACCTTGAAAAACGCACAATCGAAAAAGAGGTAGTTACCATTGGTTGCACTGTCTAAATGTACAGATGGTTAAATTATGGAACCAAGTATTATAGTAAAGAAACATGAATATTTAATTAAATCCATTTGTGAGTAGGACACTCAAAAAAAGGTACATGCCATCGGAAGAATTGTCAGAGGAACGTGGAACTATAGAACTCACTGAAGGCAATTCAATGGGATTATGTTCTGTTGCTCGGGTCTATGTTGTTGCTCTAGTAGACGAAACTAATAGAAATGCAAAACAATGTAAAATACTATAGAAAGATCTTATTTTGTATGTAATTAAATTTGTTAAGCATTGTCCAATGGAAGATGAATTTCCTTATTTTTATTTACAAGAAGGACAATAAAGTTATCTATCTATATTTATTAATATACAGATAAAGGCAACCTGTGACAACGACACCTTGTAAATATGATATATGTGTACTAAGCAAAGTTACGGTTATGAATACCAAACACGATGGAAATATGTTTAACACAATAGATACAATAGTAAACACTACAAATTGACCCGGCCCATGAACAATGTTAAGAAACAAAATTGGTCAAAAAAGGGGAAATGTACAACTAAGCTAAATGCTTGTCAAAAATCAAGAATTTGAGACAGTAAACAAGCATCAAAATTGTGTAAAGTAAGCTAAAATGAAATCAACTTGTGAGTAAGACACTAAAAAAAGAGGTACATACCATCGGTGGCACTGTCAGATGAACGTGGAACTATAGAACTCACTTTATAACTCATTTTGTATATAATTACGTTTGTTAAGCATTTCGAACGGAAGATGAAATTCCTTGTTTGTATTTAAGAGAAGGACAATTATAAATTTATCTATCTATTAATATATAGATAAAGGCAACCTACGACAACGACACATGAAAAGGTACATACCATCGGTTACACTGTCAGGTGAACGTGGATCAGTATTATTCACTACGTCAGATATAAAGTCAGGTGTCGATGAAACAGCGATTGAAGACAATTCACTGGGGGTAGGGTCTGTTGTTCCTATCGTCCTAGTTACTCCAGCTGACGAAGCTATGAGAAACACAAAATAACGTGAAATACTATCAAATTATTGTAGCCTAGTAAATATAATGTGTGTACTAAGCAACATTACTATTATAAAAGCCAAACACCATGGTGGTCGATCGGTCAAACGATGGAGCCAGAAATATTGTAATCCTGAGTATATTGATAAACAAAAAAAATAAACCAGACTTTAAAAGAGGTGCATACCGTTGGTGGCACTATCTGTTGAACGTGGACCAATTGAACTCACTTCGTGAGGTGGAAACTCAGGTGTCGATGAAACAGCGATTGAAGACAATTCACTGGAATGAGGATCTGTTGTTGGGATTGCTGTTGTTACTCTAGCTGACGAAACTAACCAATATGCAGAATAATTTTAAATATTATCAAAATAAAATGACCATTATTAACACACTATATACCATTGTAAACACTACAAATTTGCCCGGATCATGAACAATGTTAAAGACAAAATAGGTAAAAGAAAAATTGGGGGAGGGCAACTGAACATAACATAGTGAGGTTGCTTTTATAATATCAAGAATGCAAGCCAGTAAAGAAGCATCAAATAAAGTACATGTACATTAAACTAAATTATTGAGAAAGGGAAATATTAAAGAAACATAAATATATAGATAGATACGACCTCTTGTGGCATAATGATTTTAAACAAGGTACGTACCATCGGCTGCACTGTCAGATGAATGCGGATTAATAAAACTCACTTCTTCAGATGGAAATTCAGGTGTTGATGAAGACAATTCACTGGAAAGGGAGTCTCTTGTTCTTGTTGTCGTTGTTACTGTAACTGGCAAACCTAAGTAAAATGCAAAAAAATGGAGTAGTATCAAAATAATATACATTTTATACACACTTAAAATTGCCCCCGATGAGGATCTGTTGTTCGGATCGCTGTTCTTACTCTAGCTGTCGAAACTAACCGATATGCAAAATATTTTAAAATATTACCAAATAACATGACCATTATTAGTACACTAATACCATTGTAAACACTAAACATTTGCCAGGGCCATGAACAATATGAACGACAACATTGGTAAAAGAAAAAAAGGAGGTGGGTGGGGGGGTTTGGCACGCAACTGAACAAAGCATAGTGAGGTTGCGTGTAAAATATCAAGAATGCAAGCCAGTAAACAAGCATCAAACGGTTACTGTAGGCCTACATGTATAGTAAATTAAATTATTGAGAAAGGGAAATATTAAAGAAACATAAATATAAATGCAGTAATGCATCTAATAAAGTAAATGTAGCTTATAAACGACATGTTTTTTAGACAAATATATAGATAAATACGACCTATGGCATAAAGATTTTTAAAAATGTACGTACCATTGGCTGCACTGTCAGATAAACGCGGATCAATAGAACTCAATTCTTCAGATGGAAATTCTGGCGTTGACGAAACAGCGACTGAAGACAATTCACTGGAAAGAGGGTCTCTTGTTCTTGTCGTCGCTGTTACTCTAACAGTCAAATCTAAGTGAAATGTAAAAAAAAATGGGGTAGTATCAAAATAATATACCATTTTAAAAACTTCAAATTTCCCCCGTCGCGGACAAAACCCAATGTGAAAGACAAAATCTGGATAAAAACAGGTTCAACAAAGTGAGATTCATGTAAGGATGTAGAGAGGGAGAAAGTAAACAAGCGTCTGCAAGTTGAATTATGGAAGCAAAAACTCCAAAGAAACTTGAAGAAAGCACATTAGAAAAACAAGTACATACCATCGGTTGCATTGTCTAAAACATGTACAGATGGTTAAATTATGGAAACAAGTATAGCAAAAGAACATGAATATATAAATAAAATAAACTTGTGAGTCGGACACTCAAAAAAAGAGGTACATACCATCGGTCGCACTGACAGGTGAACGTGGAAATATAGAACTCACTAAAGGCAATTCACGGGAGTGAGCAGTAGTAACTAAAAGAAATGCAAAATAATGTAAAATATTATAGAAAAATACTTTAAAACTCATTTTGTATATAATTAAATTTGTTAAGTATTCCCAATGGAAGATGAATTTCCTTATTTCTATATTTATGAGAAGGAAAATAAACAACATTTAATTAGGGCCTATCAGGACACTCGTTAATGAGGTACATCCCATCGGTTGCACTGTCAACTGAAAATAGATCAACCGAACTCACTTCTTCAGGTGGAAATTCAGGTGTCGATAAAATACCAATTAAAGGCAACTCACTGACAGGTGAGTCTGTTGTACGGATAGCTGCTGTTCCTCTAGCTGACAAAACTAACAGATGTGTAAAACATGTAGAGTATTATCAAAACAAGATGTGCAAGAAATGCAAGGAGTATTATCAAAACAATTATGTGTACTAAGCAACATGACTATTATTACTAAATACCATTGTCAAAAGACAAAATTGGTGGAGAAAAGAAAAAAACACAATGGAGCTAATGGTTTGATGATCGTTGTCGAAAATAAGGAATGTGAGCCAAAAAGAAGCAAAACAGTTGTAGATCTACAGTGAGATAAAATATGGAGGTAGGAATATGCAATAATCAAGAAACGGGTATATATCAGAAAATTAACATGCTAAATATTAAAAATCAATCAAATATCAACTCAAATTAATGAAGGTGCTAGAGGTTTAAGGCAGAATCTCCCCTTGCACCCCTACCAGGGGCTCTTTCCTGAGACTGTCACATAGCTCGAACATTCACGCCCCCTCTTTCTTACCGGGCTGGATCCGCCCCTGTTTTTCCTTAGTAATTAAGCATTACATATAAAGTATGTTTCAAAGAATGATGGATAACATTATTTACCATTTTTAGCCATAAAACCCGAAATTTTTACTAAAAAAACATGAAAATTACATCCTTACCTTCGTCGGCTTTCACAGCAAATTCTATGAACGTATTATTATAACGATAGGTTCCAGGCTTTTCTCACATGTCCAAATTAGGGGTAGTTCATGAATATGCAGTGATATCTTCGAATTTACACGGTATTGGTTGATTTAAAACATTGAATATTCAAAGCGGGTGATGTGTTTGCAAGTGGATTTTAAATATAGCACGCCCACTATAGTTTTTGCGTGCCTCAATATCGGACTTTTTGTCCACTATTAAGATACCGTGACTTCAGTACAATAAGTAAATACGGATACAAGTGGCATATAAACCTGCGCGCAGATCGCCAGACGGATGGTCGAGCGGTTAAGGAGGAGCATCGAAACCTACAGCCATGACTTAGGCTCTGGTTTGAGGCCGCTCGCCTATGGTTCTAGTGGTGGAACACTTCTCGGAAAGGACTCTAACCCGTAGGCCCAGTCTGTTCACAATTGGCTCATGTGCACTTAAAACAACGCAGTACATCTTTCGAGACGAGTAGGGGGTTACCCCGGTGTAATGGTCCATTATACAGCCCATGTTAACCTGCGGTTATGGATCCTGAAGTCATTTGCAGTATGTAACAATAAACAATACAATTATGGCAAAGAGGTTGGCCTACATACCATCGGCTGCAACATCAGGTAAGCGTGGGTCAATAGAATTCACTTCATCCGATGCAATTTCTGGTGTGGGCATTGGGCTGATTAAAGAAACTCCGAGAGGAATTTCTGATATTCCTGTTCACAAAATTAAGTAAAACATGTTTGGAAAACGTGTAAGCCTATTGAAAAGCATGTTGATTCAAAAACAAAATATTGTATTATCATTAACCTAATTTGTATTTTTTTCCATACTATACGTTCTACAATGAACGAACAAAATACAGGGACGGTGATGACTGGCAGAGGATAGGTTTCTAACAAAATTATATCAAATTTGTTTTCCGCCATTTGGAGTTTATCCTCAATAAAAGAGTCCCTCACAGAGCACTCATAATCGAAATGGCACTGCGTCAGAAAATAAGAAATCAATTAAGAGCGTATATGAAGTAATGTATTATTTGTTTTTATAAAGAAATGTAGGCCTAAGTCGTAGTCATGATTTTGAAAAGGTACCAGGTGTTGTAAATATTTACGTCATAATTAATTTGATCAATATGGCATCATTTAAAATTATTAAATTATTAATTATACAAAATTGCAAGGATGAATTTTTACACTTAACTACACAATATTAATTTTAAAATATTCCTACCTGGCACTATGAGGAGTGAACGAATGTAAAAGTCGTAGGTCATCTCTATAGTCATTCCTGTGGACAAGTTAATATCGTAGACTCTTCCATTTGAAACAGCATAGATATGAGATCCGTTACTATCAATATCACTAATTGTATGCACATCAAATACATGTACAGGGTCACTTTCTGCGTCCTCAATATTTGGAACAGGAAGCGTCCATATGCTAGAATACCCATATTCGGAATTATATTCGCAAAAAATAAGGCTGTCTCTTATACACATCTAGATGTGTATAAGAGACAGATACTAATATATTACTCATTTAAATCATATAAACCTAACATTTTTATTTAATCATAAAGTACATGACTAAATCATTAAACATAAACCAAAATATGTTATTTACTATGATTTTCTAGCTGCGGCCTCTAAGCTCACTTACGTGAGTGTAAAAATTCGATTGTAGGAATAAAAACGCTTCCCAGCCGGGATTCGACCCTGGAATCTTCTGCTGCCTATGCCTAACTGTTCAATTGAGGCTTTCGTTGGAAGTCTGAATCCGATTGGAGGCAATTGATTTCGCTCTCTACTGTATGCTAATATTTGACGCCCAAACACGTGTTGTACCGGTATATAATATACAGAAATCAGAAATCATTGAACTGCCTGCTTACCATTGATAATTATTGGAAAGGCCTCAAGACCTATACTACACAAAGTGGTCCGCTGATTAGAGTCTAGATCATATCTGACGAGCCTTTGCACAATATTAGAGATATCCATTATGACGTAGTACAATATGCTGGAACAAATAACCATAATTTAGTTTTTACATAGGCTTATAGTAAATCAATACTAATGAATACTGTGATGAGGCCTAACGATAATGTACTAATTATTTGGTAGGCCTTTTGTTAGAGACCAAGAAATTAGTATTAGTTTAACTATTATTTTCATTATATATCTTTTTATCTGGTAAAATAGATAAAAAAAATATATATATATATATATTCATTAACAAAAACATATCAACCGTTCATCCAATCTATTCGCACATCATTATTATGGCCTACACGATACGATGGATTAGTATTGATAGTAATGATAACATTAACAATAATAACTAGGCTTACTATGTCTGTTTGTAAAATTGAACATACGGCTTTTTTTATTACCATAAAGAGAATTAATGTTGAAAGTACAAAAAAAAACAACTAGTTTAAAAAGTCTAGCGTAAAATAACACAAAAACAAAAATGAAATCATACTGAAAGTTATGAAGAAAATTATGAAATTAAAGAACAACTCGACGTCAAGGAAACTCGAATTATGACTACTAATAATATTCAAAATATGTATAGAATGTCGTAATACTGTATTTTGATATGCACACCTTTGATATGGTCTTTACTTGGACAATGTTTGAATTAAAGTGACTAAAGTGCCGGTCAGAAGAACTCTGCAAAAACATAGGAAAACGGGATAGAAGAAGAAAAATAAATTACAACAAAAACAACTATTTCTGCTAACGCCAAAAGACAATAACAAAAAAGAATAATTTAAAAAAAACCCAGGGAAACTAACCTGTCGTTGGTAAGACTAGATCTATAGCTGCAATGGTAATAACCAGGGTAACAAAAAGACTCATAATAAAAGGGAAGGTGATAATCATTGCCGACACTGCGTGATCAGTGCATTTTAGTTAATAGTAATTCAGTGATTGAAAACGAAAATGTGTTCATGCATAGCACGGTATATGCATTTAACATAGCAGCAGTTGATTTAAACGATTTAGAAAACGCGAATTGAGTTTATATAATTTAATCAACTATCTAGTAAAATTCTTTAAATCGCCCTCATATCAACACACTACTCCGGATCGTCCCCAAAATTTTATTAATTTCTTAGTGGACCACGACAAACCATTCTGTAAAGTTTTATTTTGATCCATTGGTACGGTCAGTTTTTGAGATATTTAGGTCTGGGACGTTAGCACTTAAAATGACCCCAAACGTCACACCTGAGTCTGTATCGTCAACAAAGTTTAATAATTTCTTCTTTGTAACTTGTTTAAACTTTTCTGAAAGTTGCATTCAGATCATTTCATCCGTTTTGGTTTGAGACGTTTGCTTTGAATGGTCACCATACCCACACCCTACTCCAGATCGTCACAAAAATGCAATTATTTCTTTACTAAACTTTTAGAGAAAGTTTCATTTAGACCCATTGATAAGGTTTTAGAGATATTTAGGTCTGGGACGTCAGGAATTTTAAATGACCCTCACATTTACACCTTCAATTGGATCGTCACTAACACATAATAATTTCTTCCTTGTAACTTGGTTAAACTATCCCGAAAGTTTCATTCAGATCAGTTGATCCGTTTTTGAAATATCTGGTCTGGGACGTTTTCCTTTTGAATTGTTCTTATATCCACACCCTACTCCGGATCGTCACAAAAATTTAATTATTTCTTTAATAGACCTTGACAAATTATTTAGAAAGTATAATTTAGACCCACCCACTAATATGTGTTTAGAGATATTTAGGTCTTGACGTCAGAAATTTAAATGACACTCACATTTACATCCTAAATTGGATCGTCACTAACACAAAACAATTTCTTCCTTGTAACTTAAATAAACTTTCCCGAAAGTTTCATTCAGATCAGTTGACCTGTTTTTGAAATAAAGTGTTTGCCCTTAATTCCTTTAACTGGTCCTCACATCCACACCCCAATCTAGATTGACACTAAATATTAGGAGGCACATCTTTGATTATGGTCTACGCTTCGACATAGTATGGAAAAGATCCAAGCATGGAAAGTGACCAAAGGCCGAGCGGACAAACCCAGTGCAAAAAGATAGAAAAAAGATATGGCAAAATTCAAAGAAAAAAAAAAACTGAACAAAAACAATGGCTTAATAAATACTGATGACGACGATGACTTTGATCAAGTGGCGGACGGCTATACGATATGATAATGTGGGATCAAAGTGAGAAAATGATACAAGGAACTCACTGTGATTCTGCCTCTATATCCAAATGTGATACAAACGATTCACTTTCGAAAAGCCCAATATACTCAACACCGGACTGGTATATAACTGCCTTTTTAATTGCTCCATCTTCCAAAATATACAGCACCCTATTGATGTCGTCTAATACCATCTCCTCTATCACTGTTTTTTTTTAATTCGATATCGATTATGGGTTAAAACACGGGAAAATGAAAATAAAAAGCAAGTACGAAAATGAAGCGATTGCATACGTTGACATAATATAGACATAACATTTATTGAAAACGAATATTTCGGACACTCCTGTGTCCTTCCTCAGCGTTACACGTATGACTTTACTGTTTGAACGTGCCGAAGAAGCAATGGTAAATACAATTTTCGCATTGCTTCCTCGACACGTTCAAACAGTAAAGTCATACGTGCAACGCTGAGGAAGGACACAGGTGTGTCCAAATTATTCGTGCCCTTATAACACTATGGGCTTGCCGTACAGATCAGGCCCGTAGCGTGACTTAATTTGTGGGAGGTTTGTTTCAGTGGAAAAAGGACCACTTGGCTTGTATGATCTCCGAAAATTTTGAGAACATTGTAAATATATCTACGAATAACAGTTTTTCGTTTTTAAATGCTGATCTTCTCCAGTTTTTTGGCGGTTCGTCGTAACCCCCTTAACCCCCCTCCCCCACGGTACGGGCATGCAGATTAATGTAATGACCATGTTCCATGATTTGCCTATATTTAGGCCATTTTTGCAAATATTGTATAACAAAGCATACCGTACCGTACTCCGAACTCCGACAAGACACCGCTCGACTGTTGATGTTCATCCAACATAATCCGTTTGTAGTATCCCAAGTCGACCAATAAAACGATTGAGAATGCTTATGAAAAGCAACGGCAATACAACCATGAACTTCCTGATGCATTGGTTTCATAATAAATGCATTGTCAGTATCAACATAACCATAGAAAATTTCTCCCCGGCTGTCAATAAATACAGCTAGCAGAACAACAGAATAAACATCAAGAATTTATTATAGCTCATCACTGTATTATTATCAGGGCTGATGCGAACGCACCTGCATTATATACATCTCTAAAGAATTTAAAAAAAATGATTATGTTAAAAATTGCCACGTTATGACTACAGCTCCTCTTCAGTACTAATAACCAGTGGCGCCGAGAGGCCGGAGAAACCGGGCCAAGTGCCCTGGGGCATTGGCCAGGTAGTGGCCCAGGGAAGACTAGGTACAAAATTATAAAATAAAATAAATAAATAAAAAATATTAAACGTATACATTCATCCAGTATCATTCATGTGTTTTTCCCACCATAATTGTAAATAAAGCTGACAGTTTATCGGTAAAAGCTGGTAATTATTCGCTTCTAGTTCGTTTTCCTGAATATTTTCATGACTTCTACTACTATAGAATTTATGACAATGTATCAAATAGTAAATTCTTTACGTTATTAATTAATAATTATAAAAGGCTTGGACCCTGGAAATCGTCAATATACATACAAGTTAGAAAAGACGAATAGACCTATAGAGATTCCATTATCAAGTAAATACTGAATTAATATATTAAACCAGTTTCGGATTTAAAGGGAGGCCCGGTCCCACATCCTAAATTTTCAAAATTTAACAAAAATTGATAAAAAAAGAAAAATTCTACTCAAATTTAAGTCTAAGCGTGCCATTTCCGGCCGTCATAAATTTTCTAACCTCGGCCCTAACCATAGTGGGGCTGAGGTAGATATAGACCGTCCATCTGTGAAAATCCTTCTCGGTGCCCATTTCAAATTCTTGGATCCGTCACTGTAAACTTTGATACCATGTTATCTTTCAGCACGTTTAAATAAAAGGAAGGATAGATTTCACTTTCCATGTTTCTATACTTTATCTTTCATGACCTGGTGAAATTAGGCACTTATAATCTATTAAATTAGTCCTCCTCTAATCCGTTAAAGGTCGTAGCTTCGGGAGGGGGACACCAGGGATCTGCCATCGATCCTGCTGGAGCCACAGACCCCTAACCAATGGGCCCGGGAAGCGAAGATGCCCCGGGGCCCGCGGCCGCCCTGCTAATAACCTAATGATATCTATATAATATAAAGCAATTTCTATGTACGATTTTCTTTAAATTACTTATTCGGTCTAAGACCAATCTATTCAATTCATATATAGTACAAGATCATCGTGCACTAGTATACATCATCCTCACAAGTTTTACTTTGATCTTTCCTCCTGTCCGTCGTTCCTCCATCCACTGAAATTGCTTTGCAAACACGCTTACGAAACAAATTTTGTATTTCATTTATGATCGCTAATTATTCACAAATGAAACCAAAACATCCACACCTAATGATAATGTCATAGCCTTCCTCAACAAGGTATCCAGGATCCACCCATTGGAAGTTTGGAAGTAGTGGCTTGAATGTATACCCAGCTCTCCCCGACGAGGGGCCCTGGCCCCAGACCCCCAGCTGGCGCCTCAATATGACTTAAGGAGGTGGGGGGGGGGGGTTTCAATAATAGCGTAACAACTATGAGATTTCACTGGCTAAAGCCAGGGGCCGGCCCCAGGCTTAAGGAGGTCCCGGGATATTCATTAGCACTTCGCCACTTCTCCCCCCACCCAACCAAATCGACAGAGCGGGGCTTTTAAGGAGCACAACATGTAAGAAACGCAATACATAATACGTAGCCTACTAGACGTTGTAAAAAGACTAAAACAGGGGATTTCCCCGTACCCCACTGGAATCAACCCGGATCCGGTCCCCAGTTAGAAGGCACAATGAATTGTCTCTTGTCCAGACGCCCAGGCCTCTTTGTTACGCCACTGGTTCAATACAGCCATTATTCCCTGACAAATTGTCCAGACAAGGGACAGACAGTTAGATTAGGGGTGTGGGGATTGAGTTCATTGTTATAAATCTCTGTTTAATTGAAAATTATATTCGTGTTTAACTAATATTGCGCCTTTTGAAATTTAATTATACTTTATAAAGTCCTATTCATACTTCTATAGCAATAGTCTTAGCTATAGGGTGGATGGCTAAAGCTCCTCTAAATCCGCCCCTTAAAAAAAGCATCGTTGGCGTAGCAGAATCATGGTAGCATTGTTTCTCCCTAGTGCTTGTGTGACCTGCTTGACCCATTGACCCAAGCCAAGTATCACCACACTCTTTGCTCCCCCTCTGTTTCACATTCCATTATGATTTTTTTTTCTCATTTTCTTGCTTTTCGCCATCCTAATAACATCAGGACTTTAAAGCACTACTAGACAAACTTCCTCTAACCTCTCTTAATTGGTGTTTTGCAAGACCTAGCTGGGTATTCCCTGTCTGCATCGCTTAATTAAAAACCATATTTTGATCTATCAGTAAATGTCTTGATCAGCATAACAAATATATAATCCAATGTATTTACCTAAATCGCTAGAGCAAACTGTAACAGGAATGACCAACATAACGATAACTCGTAGTATGCTGAGGAAAAAAGAAAGTGATGACGATGGTGATGACGGACGATGAAGATGATGGTGATTGAAATGTGATGAAAATGATTATGACAACATATTACATGTGACAGCATCTTAAATGTTTTCTCGTATACTTCTTTATATTTTATATAATGATATAATTATTTTATATAGGCCTATTTTATTAGGATAAAATAGGAGTTCCGAGATGACCACTTAATGTGTTGGGCTTAAGGCCATTTTATTCTCTAGAATTGCTCTTTGTTGATGTTCATTTTATCTTATGGCAAATTTGTAATAAATATTCATTTATAAAATAAATAGAAAAAGGAACGATACGATATTTACCAACAGAAAAATGACGAGTTCACAATTTAAGATAACACGAACGAATTTTGCGATGTGTTTGGTATTAATAACCGAATTTGCTTCTATGCAAAAATTATATTAATTTGAACAATTGTCATCATAAATAAATAACATAATAAAATAATATGAAATGTTGCATATTACATTATACAATGTAGTTCGTATAAAATTTTGAACTTCTGGGGGGGGGGGGGAATATTGTGGGAGAATATGTGGGCATTTAAAAAATAAATAGAAAAAGAAAACGACTTACCTTTCCCGCATCATCGGGACAAAATTATCAATAGAGAAATGACGAGACAAATTAAAAAACATGAACGAGTTTTGCGATGACTTTGGTATTAATAACCAATAATCGAGGTGTTGGTAATAATAAGTGGTAATCAGTACGACGTCATTCCTTAACCATAGCAACCAAATTTGCTTTTATGCAATAATTATATTATTTCGAATAATATAATGTATCACCTCAATTAATAGCAAAACACTCGAGTTAAGTTACATATTTATTTTAGTTACTAATTTGCTACATAATACAAAAGTATTGAAATGGTAATTTTTAAAACGCGTAACACGAATTTCGTTTGCTGTTTGTGTCCAAAGACCTATATCTACTGTTACACCAAATTAAATTGTATTCAGATTTAACTATAGGTCTATGAAGTTAGCTTTTGTTGTCACTGTATGCCTAATAGTAAGAGATCAAGACGTAAACTATATTACAGTTACTTAACACCTCACCAGGAGAAATACGATATGTAGGAAGCGGAGAAATAAAACAAATATTTCGTATATTGTTAATACAAACTGGTTAAGGGCGAAGAATATTTATGCATAAAGGTTATGCATGAAAGTTTAATAACTAGCAGTTTAACATTAAACATTTTGTAGAATGTTGCCATTTTACTTGGCACATCTTTGTAGTAATGGTCTTGGTCTTCCATTGGATAAACGATCCATGCACGGAGGAAAACGACGAAAGTGAATGGTAAAAAAAACTGTTAAAAAATACAAGAATTAAGACTGGATAGAAATATACCCAATCAGAACAAAATTACAATAGGTTTTCGATCCGATGTTGGAAACCAATGATTCAAAGTCAGTGGTCAGTTTGATTAAGTCAAAAATTGAAAATCTCTTTAATCTTGACACCGGTTCCAGTCGTGCCAACCATGTGCACGGATTTACTTATGATGATCAGTTTACCTTCAAGACACCACCAAATTTAATTCTACCACAGGAAAATCAAGCACATTAGAAAATCCATCTCAAATGATGTGTGTGCTACTACCATTCACACTGTTCCCGCAAAACGCATATGAAATGCGTGGTTCGGTGAAACAAAATCACTTCTTGCAGCATTGTAACATCTATGGAATACTACATGCTGCAAGGATATCCGGCACAAGACAATTTGATCACATTTCTTTATGGGTTGCCTTTTTCCTCACGAATGGGTTTAAAAATACTGCTAACAGTATTACAATGAAAGCAACCAACAATCCTGAACTGTCATAACTTTCAGACCTCGCTTCTACTTCAACTTCATCCCACACTCTTCGTTTTTCAAAGAATCAATTCTTTTATATACCAATACTAGTGCCTACACTATATAATACTTTTTTCTACATTAAAATAAAAATGATTGAAATACAAAACATTCATATTATACTATACACAGTATATTAAATATGCATACCTAATATAAGATTATTTGAAACATAGACTAAGCCTATAAGTACTTATTTAAAAATTACTTTAAATAATGTTTATAAATATATTATTTAACTAATAAATGACTAACTTAAACGTTGACATAGTATTCGCTACAATAATAAGATTAACAATTTTCAATCTATAATCATTTTCATAACGTAGTATCATGCTCACGACGTCGAGGCGTAAGCATTATCGAGAGGCTATGCTTACGCGCCCAAAGCTAAAAGCATCCCTATGATGGTTACGGCAATGCGTAATGTTATAACATGGAGGTATTATTGAGAAGGAGATCACTCGGCAACAGTTCCCTTTGACGCGACAAACCTATGTGTTCCCCGCTTTTGGATCGCGCGCGGGCGTATTACCCTATAATTCACATTTTTTCGTTAGCAACAACTTGGCCACGACATGCATTTATACGCTTCCAGCAGAGCAGTTGTGCAATAAAACGTTTGATTTTAACCCATTAAATATCTTTATAATGAACATTGTTCCCCTGATTAGATTTTTTCGGGCTTTTGGTATGTTATTATTTGTATATTTCAGGAACGGATTCCGTAAAATATTTATGTTAAAATTACTTCTGTGTTCATTATAATTTTGTCTAAAGATTGACTGGTTCGACTATAAAGCTAAGTCAG